TATATGTTGAGTATGCTTAACACTGCAATTCTCCAACAAAGCTAGGGCACAAGCACATCAAACTTACAAAAACAGCTCCTAACAGCTTGGGCAAGACAGCCATCAGACTGCTTGGGCAGCCTCACTTGTGCCTGCTTGTGTAATGAATCAGTGGCTTACTCTGCTACACACAATTTCCCTACAATGTAGTAAGTGGGTAGCTTCAAATCTTTCTGTTCTGTCTCAGACCCCCATACACTGACACGATGTACACACACTCTGTATATTTTATCTAGCACATATACACAAAAATAAGAAACTATGCTGCAGTATTCATATTATATATCTATATACACACATACAAACAGATGCAGGTGACCTTTTACACACATAAACGGAGATTTTTAATAAATTCTCAAATATTTCTCACCATTAATGGAATCCCTTTGCAGTGTTGCTTTTCTGCCCCCACACAAGAGCAGCAGGGTAGAAGATATTCTCTGTGCTGAGCCCCCCCTGTTGCATCAGGAGAAGGCAAATCCAAAAAGTCACATGAATGAGGCCCTTATTCCCCCTGTGCACCAGGAAGGACTCACCCTAACGCTCTACTATAGGGCTAAAGCTTTCAGCTTTAACTCAGAAGCCCCAAGAAATATAGCCTATTGCAGAAAGACAGCAAAAGAGATCAAGGGCATCCTCATAGATTTTGATAGGTGAAAGAAGTGCACAAAGTCACTCAACTGTTCTGTGGACTTATGGTTCTGTTTGTATCTTCATAAAGCATCATAAATTTTAGTGTACACATAAAAAACCAAATACAGATACCACAATGCCTCAAGTTTCATGCAAACAGCTCTCTGTAAGCAATGGCAGCCCCTCCTAAGATGGGCATTGCATACGCAGCACTCTTTGCAGGAGTGGGCCTGTAAAGTACGTACCTAAATGCTGGTAAAATGTGTTTACATAATCTGTAAATAGATAAAGAAAAGTACATTCACACCAGCTACTGGGGAATGAAAACAAATCATTTTTCTACTGCTAGAAGTACTGAATCACCTACCATCTGGTTTGGGAGAAAAAGGACTCACTCTAATTCAGCTGTGAAGAAAATCCTGTCTAAAAAAAGTAATCACATGCTAACTCCCCCTACGTTCAATTTCTAGTCATTTTAACATGGAGACATGACAGAGTATTGTTTTCCTGGAGAAGAAAGAAGGAGAAAAAAGAATAGTAAGAAAGATGTGAAGTTGTTAGGCCCCGATCCTGCAAACTCCAAATCCTTAGTTTTGGGAAATAGTGGAAGCTATTTCTCAGAAAAAGCTGAGTCTATGTATCAATTTCTGCTGGAAGGCATCCTAATTTCCTAGGAAAAATCTGACACACACTTGCAGGCATGCTGTGAAATACTAAAGTAAAATCTAGATACTAAATATCTGAACTAATTTCCCTTTATACACTGTCAACATTTGTTTTTTCCTCAGTCATACAAGATAGATACAAATGTGTGCAGGGTAGCACTGCACAGCAGCGGTGTGTTACTGACAAGTGAATTACTGCCACTGCAGAAGAGCACATGGGCACATACGTGCTCCAAGCACTACTTTGTCTTCCGAGTAGTCAAGTCCTGGCTGAGGACCACAAGTCCGAGAGAGATCAGTGCAGCTGTGTGGGTGGTTTTAAGAGCCCTGTGGGGCCCGGCCTTTTGCCTCTGCCTGCCTCAGTCCTCCTCTCCTTTATTCAAACACTCGCACAGAACTTCCTGCCTCCATCCCAAGGTCTCGAGGAGTTAAATACAGACTCTTTATCTACAGGACAAAAACAGATTTCACTGGAAAACTGACTGATTAACCTAAATGCTACAAACATCTGAAAATATTGACAGAAATTTCCCCACCCCGCTAAATATTTGCCCACTAACCTTTACCGCTCACCTCTTTTCCTTCCACTAAAGCCTTTCGTGAAGAAATATCTATTAGTTATTTAAAACAGAAAAAATATTCCCTGGCTATTCCTCAAATACAACTTTTTCTTTCCTTCTTACATTTAGCACTATTGATTAACGCTGTAGAGATCTTCACATGGACAGATTTGATCTCAAAATTTAATGAGAAACAACAGAAGATCTCTCTCTGAAAAGAGACTTTTAAAACAATGTGTTACAGCCCAGATGTACACCCAAGGGCGATCAAGTTACTGTGGCTTCATATGTTCCTGCTTATCACCTGCATGACGACCATACAGTCCTCACTCATGATTGTGAAACAGAAGGGCTTAGCTTAAAGATAGTCTATGCTTAAGCTTTGTGGTGGGGAGGGAAGGCTGTGGGTGAGCACCAAGCAGGTTACAGGGACTCAGCTGCAGAGCAGTAACTCTTTAAGCTACAGATGTAGGATTACTTAAGGCCTTGATAGTAACCCTGGGGAAAGTTGACTTGTGACCACAATCTCACAAGCACAAGCAGTGTGTAGCACAAGCAGTGGTAGACCCACACTTAACACCCTCTGGGACCCCAGAGCTGGTAAATTATCTACTTCCAGCTCATAGGCTAAAACAGCACAGAATCACACCCTACACTAATACTAAAGCACTCAAATAATGCATATTATCTTAACGCAGGCAAAAGTAAACACGGTGCTGTAGTGATACTGGGAGGAACAGACATGCACTGAAACACAAGGCTTTCCTTGCAAAGTAGCTTTCCCCACCACTGCCAGATGACGAGGCCTCCGCAGTCTCTGCACGCAGAGTGGGCCTTTCCCCTGGGTCACATGAACACAGCCTTCTCTTACCATTTGAAAGTCAGCTGCTGAGGGGAGGGCTAAAGGCCAAGAGAACTGCTTCCAAACAGAGATGACCTTGCAAGCTCTCTCCCACCCTCCGTTCTTTCACTGTGTAACCGAAACAGGACCCTTGGGATTCTCCTAAAAAGTCACAGGGAGAGAAAAAAACTAAGTGGAGTACTGATGTAACAGCGGCTGGGGGGGCCTCAAGGATCTGGCAGCCAGTAGAAAGAACTGAGTGGACAGGGATGTGGTCTCAAAAACGGCAGAGAGGGCCCTGCTGCAGCAGGCGGGCGTCACGCTGTGCCCCATCTGCCACAACAGAGCGGGTGCCAATGCTCCACTTCGCTGCAGCGTTTCACCCATGCTGCACGGCCCCGGCTTGAAAGCAGGACCTTCCACACAGGAGATAAGCCCCACAGGGTAGGAAAGCATCAGGACCACAGCCAAGTATGGCTTTCGTTCTGTATCAAATACCACAGGAAGCAGATTTCAACTTTCCCAACAGGTTTTGAACTGCATTTAAATTAACAGTAAATTGTATCAGTAAGATGATACATAACTCAAGCACTTTGCTGCTTTGGGATGTGTTTGTGTAAAAATAATACTGAAATTATTTTAATACAATTCATATATAAAGATATGCAATGAAGAAATCACAAGTTGCTTTAAGTAATGCAACATTTTTAACTGTCTCTTCTGCCTGTTTCTGTCAGTTGAAAGATGAAAAGCGATAGTCCAAATCACAGCATTCTGTACATTTAAAGTTTAACCAATATAATTAGCAACTCCCATTTGCTTCTAATTACATTCTGAAAACAGTACCCGTGCATCTTCTGTTGATACTTTGTTTTGAAAGTTATGCCCATTATAAGAATGACAGTTCTGGACTCAGAATTACACTTGCAAATTGAGCTGTGGGCTTCTTTAATCCAAATAACCATCAAAGGAATCTTCTACCTTCCTGCCTGTATCTGCACACTCAGTGTTACGGACACCTCAACAAAATTCTTTGCACTTATTCTAAATTTTAGACTTATAGGTCAGATTTGTCCCAAGTTATGCAGTCAGATAATCTTTTGAAAACACTAAATATATGTGACAAACAGAGATAACTCCCCACAGCCACTAGCAGATCTCTCCCTCTTCCCTCGTCTCTTTGAATTGCCAGGAACGCACACAGCTGGTGGAAGTACCCCGCAGCTCCACTGCTGCAGGAGGGCAGAGTGCCACTACACAAGTGGCTCTGGGCAGAGATATCTTCCCGCAAATGATACATCAGCAAGGGAGCACATGCAGGGAAAGCAGTTTCTAACCACACCTGTAAGTGTCTCCTTCTTCCTAGACAGGATTGGTCCTAGACAGTCAGAGAGTTCAGAAGAAATGAGGACACAACTTCATACTTTCAGTCATCACAATCTAAGCTAGATGCAACCAGAGGCATCAGCACGGATCTGACTGGCACCAGCAGAAACCATGAAATCAGAGGAGCTCTGCTCAGATTCATACACCAGGAGTAGCATGCCGCACAGCCTTTCCTACTCTGAGTCACTCCAACAGTTCCAAGACGTTCAGTAGCAACTTGTCAATAAAATCCATTAACGATGTATTTTATACAGGAATAGCATATTTAACTGACAGGCTACAACAAAAGAAGCATTACAGCAAGGTGTGAACTGCGTGTTTAATAGAATAAATGAAATACAGGATAGGTGTCAGTAAAGAAATGGTAAAAGTGAGTGAGATTCTAATGTTACATAGATGTGTTTAAAGTTTGGTGTCTACATGAACCTAATTCCCCTCCTGATTTCAGTACAGTTACATTGAGCACTCCTTTGTGCTTCTACTGATTTACAAATTCTCTGATGAATAACTGATAACTAACTTTCTTTTACGTAAGCCATTATTACTGGAGAAACAGCAAATATTACAGACATGTTTGCCTTCCCTCTTTCCAGTCTTGTTCTCATCATAATCATATCTGCCTGATATTTCTATTTCTCTCTCTGATTGGTGGTAGCTTTACAAAACAAACAAACAATTAAACCCTTGCATAACGAGTGGCACGAACAGTGCAAAAATTTCTTAGACACAGTCTTATTTTTTGTCCTCTGTGAATACACCTCTGCAGTAACTGGCAGCATTATGACAGAGGATGGTTTCTGTACTGCCTCACTGAGTTCTACACCTCGTGCAATATTCCAGCACCATGACAGAATGTGCTAACAGCCAACCACTGACCTTCTAGGTAGGTGCTTGTCATTATTCTCCGTTCGAGACTCTTGGTTTACCAGTGATTGCAGGTAATTCTAACTTCTCAAACAAAATCAAGAGGACCTGGGAAGCAGCTCCTGGAAGAAAGTGAAAATGAGTAGGGGATACTTCACAAATTAGGGGGGAAATTATAATACATAACAGTAACTGAGAAGCAAAAAGCTAAAAAACTGCTAGTTTCACAGGAGAATTGAGGTAGCAGGGACAGAAGCTCAGAAGTGGTGGAGTGGGGGTGGAAAGAAAATAGATGTAACAGTTCTGAATACATTCTCCATGTGAGGAAAAAACCAACAAACACAGCAGGAGGCCAAAACTGTAACCTGAGCCTGACCTCACTCTGGCTGGTTTTATCATAAAACCACTACACTGAACTTTGGTCATTGCATCACCGATACAACGTAGTCTCAAAGCCCAGCCAAGCAACTATACTGTGGTTGGTTTTTTCCTTCCCATGCACTCAAGATGGTAGATGTTAGCTAAGAACATTATCTTTTGAATAATAATAATATCAGTACATTTGCTAGTCGGCTGGACAACTTGCTATTCTGCGTTGGTTGTTTTGCATGGTTGTTTTTTTTTTTTCTTGTATATCACTGAACTGAAAAATGTGGGTGTGATGTAACATTTAGCTGGAACGTTAAGTGCCAAAGACATATTTTTGTCCACATCAAACCAATGCAGCAGTTAAAAACATTGCGGATTGTAGGTTATGCAAAACATAAAGCTTGTCACCAACGTAACATGGCACCAAGAACGTTTGCATGAAGATATTCCTAAGATCTTTTAAAATCTTAATAAACATCCTTGCACAGAGGTGATTCATGGTTTACAGAGTGATAAGCACAAAGGGTCCAGTAACTCACCTAATATCACCCAGCAAGTCAAGATCAAGCAGAGATGCAGAGCTCAAACTCCTGGTTCTCCATACTGACTGTCCTTGCAACAGCATGTTAGGCAAGCGCACGAAGTCCTACCACTACCAAGCATTTCTGCTTCCACAAAACAGTTTATTTTTGTGCTGCACAGGAAAAGAATCAGTGTTGGAAAGTAACCATGTTAGCAATCACTTCCAAGCAAAAAACGTAATTGCTGAGTGAGAACACAAATAGATGCCTAAGCCAATGCTGAGATGATAAACGATTATCACCAATAACAATAACTGCCCAAAATTCCAGCCCATACCTCCATGATTAAACTGACAGACCCCGCACAGGGGGCTGAACAGAAAAGCAGACTAAATACTGAGACTTGGCAAACCTCTGGGTGTCTGTCAGTAGCCTACGTCTCAGCCAGCACAGCAGTGGGGAGGCTGTGACCATCCCCAGTAGTTCCCTCCAATACCCAGGGCCATGGGCTACTAAAGGCTGACTGCTGCTCACCCCAAAGCACGGATCTCTGCGCCCTTGTCTCAGGTGTCCTGCCAGGTGCAGAAACACTGGCACTGCAGAGAGAAATGCTTTTGAAGTACCTTGAAGTTTTGAAGTGTCAGAACAGGCTGAGAGCCACACTGCCAATGGATTCGGATGGAACTCAAAACAGGCAACTCGACTGAGCACTGTGAGGAGAATCAATTACACTGCAACCTAAGTTTGTGTTCTGTGCATCGCTTATGCATAAAAAGTGGGAAATTGGTTTGGGAAGAGGGTTCCAAATCACTAATCCTTGTCAGCAGTGCCAGCATTCCAGCCTGCCATATCTGCACTTCTGATTCACACGTATGAATGCGGTGTGTAATACCGCAAGGCCACATGCATCTTTCTTAAGTGCAATCACATCTGAAGAAAGCAGCTTGTCTGTAATCGGGAAAACGCACCTGTTTGTATCGCTTTTAAACGAAGTTACCGAGCTCGGTGGCTGCAGCCCCCGGAGCCCTACCCAACTGCCCGTCAGAACCGTTACGGGCTGTGCCCCGGCATAGCAGCAGCCGGGCGCCTGACGCCCGCTCAAAGAGCCGGACTCGAGGTGGCAAGAGTCTGTTCGCTCCAGCGATCAGAGCGCGGTTTTCTAAGTTTGAAACCGCTCCGACTGGCCGCCTTCGCGCTGCCGGGAGCCGCGGCGTACAGAGCTCCCGCAGAGATCGGGGCCGCCCCTCAGCGCCCCGCGCACCCCCGCCCCAAGATGGCGGCTGCCCCTCACACCGCCTCCCGACCCCGCGGCCCCTCGCGCGCGGCCGGCGGAGCGCGGCCTCGGGCGGAGCCGCCCCCTCGCGCCGGCGCCGCCGGGAGCCGTAGTCCTCCTCCCAGATCCGCCGCCCGCCGCCCCGTGCCCTCGCCGCCGCCGTGCCGGGACCACCCCCGAGCCGTCCGACGGGCGGCGGGCAGGAGCGCCGTGCGGCGCGGGAGCGGCGGAAGCGAAGGGCGGCGGACCGCGGGCGGAGGACTACGGGCCCCGTGGTGCACGGCGGCGCGGGTGCGCCTGCGCATCGGGGCGGCCGCGGGAGGAAGCGGCGGGAGGAAGCGACGGGAGCGCCTGGCGCGGGCGGGCGCGCGGGGCCGGGCCGGAGCGGGCCGGGAGCCGCCATGCCCCGGGACAACATGGCCTCCCTGATCCAGCGGGTGGCGCGGCAGGCGCGCATCACCTTCCGCAGCCCCGCGGGGCCGGCCTTCGGGGAGAACCTGCACCGGCTGCAGCAGCTGCTGGACGAGGTGCGCGCCGAGGACCTGCACTTGGCGCCGCAGGGGCCGGCTCCGGCGGCGGCGGGGTGCCCGCGGGCCGGCGCCGTGCCGCCCGTCAGCTATATGCACATCTGCGAGACCGAGAGCTTCAGCATGGGCGTGTTCCTGCTGCGCGGCGGCTCCTGCATCCCGCTGCACGACCACCCGGGGATGAACGGCATGCTGAAGGTGCTGTACGGCACTCTGCGCATCGCCTGCATGGACGCGCTGCCCGCCGCCGCCGCCCCGCCGCCGCCGCCCGCCCCGGGGCCGTGCCTGCGCGCCCTGCTGCGCTCCCGGCAACACTACACGCCCGCCTCGCCGCCCTGCCTGCTCTCGCCGCACAGCGACAACCTGCACCAGATCGACGCCGTGGACGGCCCCGCCGCCTTCCTCGACATCCTGGCGCCGCCCTACGACCCCGAGCACGGCCGGGACTGCCACTACTACCGCCTGCTGGAGGGGCCGCCGGCCGGCGCCGAGCCCGCGCTGCCCAGGGAGGTGTGGCTGCTGGAGACCGCGCCGGCCGCCGACTTCTGGTGCGGGGGAGAGCCCTACCCGGGGCCCCGCGTCTGCCCCTGAGGCGGCGCCCGCCGCGCGTCGGCCCTCGGGACCGGACGGAACGCTGCGGAGCGCCCGGCCGCGAGGGGAGGCGGGCGTCGGCGCGGGGAGCCCCGCCCGGCTCGTCCCATCCGACCGCTCGAGAACGGCGCCCCGGGCCGCGGTTCGGCCCTCCGTTCGGATCGCGCCGCTCCCGCCGGGGGAAAGGCCGCCCGCACGGGCTGCTCGCAGGGCCGCGCGCCGAGGGCCGCTCGGGACAATAAAGTGACGATGTATTTATTTCTTGTGGCTGACGTGCGATGAAGGAGGAGTGGCGCGGTCCGGTTCTACTCGACTGAGCGTTCGGAAGAAAACCCAGCGCTCTGCGTGCGTCGCCGAGCTTCGGTCAAAGGGGGGGGGGTCGGGCTCCAGCAGAGCGAATGCAATAAGAACCCTCCCGGAGCCGTCACCACCACCCCCTCGCTGCTGGGAGCGCCGCACCGCCTTCCCGGCGGCTCCGGGCCGGGCTCCGCTAAGAGATGTACCGAACTGGCAAAATCCCACCCCTGGGGCAACTCTTCGGGCGGGCAGCGCTCCATGGATACACAGTGGTGTGCGTGGGGTGGGAGTGAAATGAGTTCCCCTCCTGAGGGACGGTGTTGGGTCCCGAATTACCATTTAACAGTTCTTCACTGCGTTCCGTATAAGATCCGGCTATTAGAACTGAAGTTATAGAGCATTCCTATGCATGTTCCCTCAGCCGGGAGGAGACTCACAGCTGCTAATTAACTGTGCTTGGGAGTTCTCATATAGCAGTGGCCGAGGGGACTGGAAGCTGTGGGCATCTTTAGAGAAGACCGCTGCTGTCCCATGGATGCTGCTGTACAACACTACTCACTTGCCTGTAACCTATAGATATGTATATCCATCTGTACACACACCCTAGGTTCAGATAGGATTTGACCCGATAACTCTTCTCTAAAAGCGGTCTGTGTTTTTATATGGACAGGTGAACACTGAGCTTTGGAAGCCTTGTGGTTTCCCTCTTTATACTATTTATAAAGATTACTTTTTTTGTAAGGCTTTTAAATAAACATAGTGTAGAAGAGACGCAGTGCATTTTGCCTTGCTGTGCTGTAAGCAGCCTTGAGATACAGCATGCCCTCAGCAGGGGATGCGATCTTTCTAACGGGAGAAACTTTTCTAGAGGTGATGTACCTGTTTGTGCTGCAGGGAGTGGCCCGGTGCTTCTGATGGCAGAGCAGGCCGTGCCACGGGCTCCAGCCTGGGTCACCGTGTGGGAATTTGAACACAAACCCACTTCCTAAGGGATGTTACCAGCCTGCTCCAGAAACTGTCCCACAACCAGCCTTTGTGTTTCTTTGTGTATTTATAAAAGCAGACTTGTTTTTCCTGTACGGTTGCTTGGACGGGTGAATTTTTAAGTGATTCTGATACAGCATCACTTTTTTTAATTGGGCAGGAAGGGCTGTGGAAGAATGAATGTAAAACACCATCAGCATTATGCATACACATATTAATGCTTTTGCAAGGAAAAATTGGTGGAAATCATTTTGCTCAATTTCCATTTATTCTTACAGCACTGTGGAGCGTCTGATGTTTCTGCAGTGGGCTTACCTGTTTTTCCTGGAATTCCCCTGCAGCTTAGCATTAGTTAATGTGCAACAATTCTCTATCAAGCGTAGTCATTAACTGTAATGCAGTGCCTCGGAATGGCACAGCCTGTGTTTCTCACTCGCTCCGGCACTAATGAAGACTGTCATCCTTTTCCAGAAGCCCACAAACAGCGTGCTGCATGCAAACAGCGGTACTGGAAAAACAAACTGCAACAAAGAGCATTTTGGTTCCGTATCTCATCTCTCTATCCTCCCCTTAGGTCTCTCTTGTTGCTTTTTATTTTTTCTCCATGCTTAAGACCTAGTCAAGCCATGTAATGGGATAGGATTTTAATGCACCTTTTCCACAGAGGACAGTGTGGTCCCTTACCCTGTAGAGTGCTGTTAACAATTGTGGCAAAACTTTTTTGTTTTTTTAAATAACGGCGTTAGCATCAAAGTATTAAAGTCATTGTGTCAGGAAAAAGAGAACCTGAGATGCATTAAAGAAAAGCGTCTTCTTGCTTATTCAATGATTGAAACTTAACTGCACGTGTTCTGGATATCTGTAAGCAGAAGGTTTGAGTCTAATATAGTTCCTTCTCTCTGCAGTCTGTTTATTGCGTTTTCACAACAGGAAAATCACTGTTATTGCTGAGTTACAGAATAAATACAGGATATCTCACCACCGACCAGTCATTACTTTTCTCTGCAAGTGTGGCAGCTTTAAACAAGAGCGGTAATGCAAGTTTCTTTTGCCTGGCAGCCCAAGTGGTGCATCTGGCCCTTCAGACACATCCAGCACGTGTGGTACTGCAGCTTGTGAAGCTAGTTGTTACTGTAAAGCAAAGGCACAGGTTTAAGAGTGCTGATACTATTACACAGTGTAAAGTTTCTCACAGCTCTACGCTAGATACTTGTGTCCTTAATCCAGCTCACTTACAATTTCTGTGTTGACTTCTGCTCTTTGCTGGCATCTCAATCTCGCGGCAGGGCTGCTCTCAGTAGCTTAGAGGCCATGGGCAGAGCCTTGGATCGTGCACTTGGGTAGCTGAGAACCTGAGCTGGCCCACGATGCTCTGGCTGTGACCAAGCCATAGTTATCCAAAGCTGTAGCAGTGCCTCGGGAAGCCCAGTGTTGCCCGTCTGCCTTCCTGCGCTGTAGCCCAGTGTTGCTGACCGAGGACACCAACGACTCTGTGAGGCTGTGCTCCACGTGTGAGACTTGCCCATGTGTCGCCCCTCCACCAGCAGGCAGCGGCTGCTGGTGTCCCTTTGGGAGCCTGGGAACATGTGGGACTAGGTGGCAAAGCTGCCCATGCTGAGATGAGGGGAGGCTAAAGCTTATGAGAGCTGTGTGGGGAAGGTGGCAGGGTGCTGAAAAGCTCCTCAGCTTCTTTGTGCCCAGTTTTGGAGACCTGTTTCATTTCCAGCTCCGAAGAGCAGCTGCTCTGAGAGCCAGCACCCTGGCAGCAGGGAAGACAGCAGGAAGTTTCAGTGCAGAAGGAAGGCAGCGGGCTGCCGGTGGCTTCAGTTGGAACAGCCGTGCCAGGGCTGTGCCAGGGCTCATCGCAGCTCTGGGCTGCTTGCAGCTGTCCCGGGCTCCACAGCACAACCACGCACCACCACCAGCCCCCGCTGGGTCAGCATCCTCAAAAATAACTTACAGAACGTTAAAAAAAGAAAGAAAGAAAGAAAGAAAGAAAGAAAGAAAACAAGAAAAGAAAAGAAAGAAAGAAGAGGAAGGAAAGAAAAAAAGAAAAAGAAAAAAAAAAGGAAAAAAAAGCGGTGTCGCGGCCAGGCCGATGTGCAGGGGAAAGCCCGGTTCGGGCGGGGGGCGGCCCGTGCAGCCCCGGACTCGCTGTGCCGGAGCCCACTCGGGGCAGCCGCCCCGGGCCGCGGAACACCGCGCTGAGTCACACCGCCCGCCCGCTCCCACCGCCGCCGGCGCGGCTCACGCCTCCGACGGGAATCCCCGCGGCCGGCAGCGCGGCTCGGCACGGCGGGGCCGGGGCCGGTGGGGAGCCCCCCTCCCCCGGCAGGCACCAACGGAAATAACGGTGTCAGCGTGGCATAATTAAGAGATTTATTCGTCGTCGCTTATAAACGCCGTGAGCGCCGACCCTGCCGTCGGAGGGCTATGTACAGAGTAGCGGGAGGGAGCCCCGTCCCGCAGCTGCCGCCCGCGGCCGCACACGGCCGTGCCGCCGCCCGCGCCCCGCGGCGCAGATCGGGCCGGGCCCGCCGGGTGCGCTCGTCCCGCCCGGGGCCCGCCCCCCCCCCCGCAGACGCAACACTCTTCGGTCACCGAAAAGACAAAAAAAAATAACAACAACCCCAACCAGTGCGTACAAAAATATAGTCTCTAAAAAAAAAAAAAAAATCCCAATATTAATAGGCAGAAATGTACAGCCATACTACAACCAGGGAGGGAAGGCAAACTTTCCGGTCTCGGCGTCGCCGCTGTCGTCGGAGCGGATCGGTAAGGCACCCCCCACATGCAGCCGGGTACGGGCTCACACCACACAAG